GACTGGATAAGAGTCGAGTCTTAGCTCGTCGCCTTCAAACGTGTTGATATTTTTTCAAATAGTTTATTCAAGTAATGGGGGGGCGGCAGGGGCGGGGGAAGGAAAAACGAAACACTTGAGGAATACGGTTATTAGCAAAAGCGTGTTGCTTATATACCGCCCCCCCATAGCGCTACAAGCACTCTCCGGGCGGTTTACAATTTAATTATGCAGGCTACACATTGCCCCCCCCCAGCGAGCTGGGTACTCATTTTACCGACCTCGGAAGGATAGAAGGCTGAGTCAACCTTGAGCCGGCTACCTGGGATTGAACCCCAGGTCGTGAGCACAGTTTTGGCGGCAGTACAGCGTCTTAACCACTGCGCCATGAGGCTCTTAGGGTGAAGTTGCCCAGCCACAACTTCGCTTCTTTGCATTTCCCCGTCAGTGCCAGGTGCAGTCTTTTTCTGAGCTCTCCTTCCAGAGAATACTTACTTCACATATCAACCAAGGCATTGAGAGAGAAGTAAAACATATATAGTACATTTAAAAAGTGTAACAGCATTAAGGATAAAGTAGCTGCAGAAACGTTTACAGAAGAATTTGTGTTTTTCAGTCATTTTTCATAAGAGCTAGGGTTTGAAACAGGTCCCTCATAAGAATTTAAAATGACATGCTTATGCATGCATACACTGAACTCAGCTTCTCTTTCCAGGAAGGTAGGAACAGGACTGCATATTAATGACAGATCCATTGCACTAGGAGTTAATACTATTGTGGTTCCATATGGTACTGGTGAGGAGTGGCGGTGAGGGGGCTATAGAGATGGTAATAATTAGAATAATATAACAATCTTTGCTGTCAATTGCATTTTCTAACAATTGTTTTTTAATCAGATGTGCAAGAAGCACTGATGGGAAATTACTATTGCCCATGTATAAGCCACTGCTGCATTTTAAACTATCATTTAGCTACCCTTGTTGTACAACGAGTACAGAATTCTCACCACATGCTGTCAGCTCTCCCTTCTCCCCAAAATCAGAGATAAAACTTGGGACAATATTGCAGGGTTACTGTAACCCATTATTAGTAAATTTGAATCAGAGATAATTATCTTCTATAGACTCTGAGATTATCAGCAGTAAGTCAGAATGATGAAATAATGCTGGAAACATATTGATTACTTAAACACCTTTAATTGCTTCCGTTTTCATTTTAGCAATTTGCTCCGCTTGATTATGTGACTATAACCACGTAAGTATGCTGGGCTAGATTTGGTGCAACCTAGGCGACATAGTCTTACTGGGCTATGAAGCTTATGTGTGGCCTTGTGACAATGCCTCAGAGTAATATATAGTGCAGGGAAGTTGCAGCAACAACAAAAAAGCTGGTGGAAGTATGCCACCATGAGCTTCTTGGGAGGGCTAAAATATGAACGATAGTTTTCTAAGCCTCTGACAGCTAATTGCACAAAAATCACACTATGTCACATGAAAACTTGTTAATGATGTTAAAGCTTCTTAATGTCATTTTTAAAAATTGTTTTAGATCAGGGGTCTCAAACATGTGGCCCAGGGGCCATTTGTGGCCCACCGGATGATAGTTTGCGGCCCCCGCCTTGCCTGCCCCCCCCAAAGTACCCACACTTCCTCTGTTGTCAAGAGTAAAAAAAAAGCCTAGCCTCGCTCGCTGGCTCTCTCCCAAGACAGCGCCTCTTGCACCCTCCATCTGGGACTGCAGCCTGCCAGCCAGCCTGCTTGTCTGCCAGCTGGCAAGCTACAGTTCCGGATGGAGGGTGCAAGATGCGCTGTCTCGGGGGAGAGCTGGTGAGCGAGGTACGCTGCCAGCCCTTTCCCCTGAGCCGCCGCCAAGCGATGCCCGAGAGCGGAGCTCACTCCCAGCCTGTCCTCGAAGAGCACCTCCAACAGTGCCACCAACAGCAGCTGCCGCCGCCTCTTGCAGGCAAGCAGCTCTCTGGCTCTCTTTCTCTCTCGGCACCCCCAGCACCAGCCCAGCCCAGCCAGCAACCGCTACTTCAGCCACCTCGGCTCTGGAGGCTGCCTGGGCTCACCTCGCAAAGTTTGCTCCTCTGGTGGGGGTAACTGCTGCTGCTGAGTGCGCCTTTTTTTGAGGGGGGCCCTCAGAGGAAGGTTGCCAGACCTCCGTGTGTGTATGTGTGTTTGTGTGCTCACACGCAAGCAGCTATGGGGCCCCGCCCCATTCTGTTTAATTTTGCATGTACCGAGGGGGCCTTTTTTCCTTTGGCAAGGTGATTCTGTGAGGGTTTTTTTTAAATTTTATGTCATGCCCTCCTCCCCCCCCCCCCCAGCTAGGCAGTGGCTGGTGCTTCCTCCCTTCTCAGCTTCTTCATCCTGCTGCTGCTGCTGGTGGTGGTAGTGAAGGAGCTAGAGGAGGTCGTGGCCAGCGAGGAGGGCTCTCGCGCCCATCCTCCTCCTCCTTGGAGCCCCAGCCAGGCTCAGGAAACTCCTGGGCAGCTTTCTCGGGCTGTTGCTCTGCTTGGAGGAAAATCTGATGCGGCCCAGCCTCACCCAGAATTTGCCTCCAGCGGCCCCCAGGTAACTTGAGTTTGAGAGCCCTGTTTTAGATGTTTAATACACTCAGGCTCTTCTGTTGCTGAATCAATTTATCTCCCCCACTTCAAATTAAAAGGTTTCAAGTTGTTTGTAGATGGTGTCCTATTATATAAACCTTCTTGATAAATTGGTTGATATATGACATTTTAAAAAAGATCGCTGGGTTGAACCATCATCTTGGAACACAGTGCACTGATGTATTTTGACAATAGAGCACAATAGAGATGGATCTCACATAGTACACCATGATAGACATTGCCAGTTTGGACATATTTTTGGTTTGTTTTCTCTAAAATATTTTGCCTGGCTTGGAATCCTCCCAATGTTTTTAAATTTCAACTTTCACAACCCCTTACCTTGTTTAGGCCATGTTAGCTACAGCTATTACGATTTGCAGTCCAAGAAGATGACACTCATAGGCTGAGAAAAGCTGACCAACTCAGATTCAAACACTACTGGTGTTGTCTGGGATGTGGAAGTTTACCCCAATATATTTATAGACTAATTCCAGCAGGACATTTTGAATTCCTATAATCAAACACTTGGATGATGTTAGTTTTTCAATTTCCCAAACTGCATGTATGAATTGAATAGCATGATATGAGTTCCCAATCTGGTAATATGGTTATTAATAGCCTCAGTACAAAGGAGGACTGGACAGGAGGATGGTCATCTTCACAAGGATTAAGGGTTCATATTTTTTTATCCCAACAGCTATCTACATAAAGGTCTTTTCAGAGGTAGAAGAACGTTTTCTAGTAGACAGATTTTTATTTTTAAAAGATTGATTATTTGGAGGACTGACAGCTAAAATGCATCCAGAACATTTTGGGTAATAACACAATCAGTTGCAGAACATGTGGGGGAAATATATTTTTTACCACAGCTCTCAGTACTTCCTAGCTATCAAGACCAGTGTCTATGCTGGCAGATAGATTTTGAGAGTTCTAATCAAAGAAATAACTTTTTCAAGCCATGGCCAACTGTCACAGGCCATCCTCAAATGCTGATACAAGAATGCCATTTTCAATTAAACTGCCTCCTTAAACAGGTGAAACTATTTTGTGAAACTGAACTTTGCTCTCACCTCTGCACTTCCCTAGAATACACAGCCATTAAAACCTATAGTACTGTTTACTTCCTTCAGATTCTCATCAGCAAGAATCACTCACCAGAAGAAAGGAAGAAACAGTATTTCTGTGCCTATGAGGTATGAGGAAGAAAAATAAGGCAGATTTATTCAGACACATATTGCTGAAACACCAGAAGCTAAGTTAGGACTCCAGTATATAGCTGATCTACATATATACGAAACATGACAGTTGCTGTCTGTGACAAAATGTTCAAAGGTGAAAAAGAAACTGACTTTTCTTTTAACTTTAATTGGCATTATACAAAGAATGGGTTTTTAAAGGGTTAGGCCCTAATTTTAGAATCACTTATGACTTTCGGTCTTTCCAGTGTTTTCAGTAATAGAGAGCTGTCTGAAGGATATCATATCCAACACTCTAAGCACAGATTGGCAAGAGAGGACCATTCAAAGAAAGATGGAGCAAAGAGAACTAATATACGTATAATTAAAAATTAAGAACACAAATGTAAATCTTTACCTTTAAAGTCTGTACACTTTTCAAAATATACAAGTTATGGTCTTTAAATGTGATTTAAACTTTTAAACATTGATTCATTTATGTAACAGCATCTGTCCCCATTGTTTTCTCCTATACACTGGCTTCTCAATAATTGTAGCTATTTTTAAGTTGTTGGGAAATCTTGACTATAAACTAAATTCCACAAAACATGAAGCATTTCAGTCACTCTCAGTTACTGTAAAAGGTAGCAGAATGGTTAATTACTCCAAAAGAGATGTGAACAGATTAAAGAGCATTTTGCTTCCTTTGTGGTTCAGAGCAGTTTTCCCCATCTGAAGTAAGGATTGTGTAAGCGCTTCTCTGACCCATGCAAAGACTCTACCATATACACATTGACTCATTTTTATGACAAATTTAGCCCTCAATCTTAGAAGTGCATTCATTAAAGAAAACAGTTAACAAGATCAACACCCTCCAATGCTGTTCGTTATTAAACATTGGGGACTTAGAGCAATTCTCTTTAGAACACCAGGGGGGAAAAAACCCTTCTCCTCTCCACACTGTCCTACATTTTGGAAAAGCATTACCCGTCACTATTTGTGAGAACAATTTACTTTACACACTTCCATGTGCCTCAAAACTTTGATGTTTTCCTTGTGCAGACTGTAATACTCATTTTAATAATCTGCATATAAGACAATATTTGTTGATTACGTTCAAGCTCTATTAGAAGTACAGAGAATGAGGATTACAAACGCCATTCCCTTGGTCTCAAACAAGGCTTGGTCATAGGAGAATTGCCTCTTGATGTCCATGTAGGGTTCTGTGTATATTCCTTTATGAGATATAGTCTCTCAAGCAAAAGGGGTATGCCTTCTTTAGCATCTTTGTTTGAAAAATGGTGTCCATCTGGTAAACTGTAATTCATTTTATAAAAAGGACATAAAATGCCATGACAACACAGGATATTGCCACTGCTGCATGGAGTCTTGTGCCAATCACTGCCGCTGCAAAAATTAAAGATATTTATCATTTGTAACAGTACAGAACATTTTAGTAACATTTAGTCAACATCAAAGAACAGTTTTACTACTAAAAGCATAATCCTAATTCTCAGTATTGATGAGGGGAAGAAGGGGTTGGGTTGATTTAAACCCACTGATTTCAAAAGCATATCTGTAAGTGTATATTGCCACTGGAATAATAACATTAGGGAAATCAACAAGTTAGGGCTCCCAGTATTGTGTGTGGGGGGGGGAGAAAATCCACACTCTGTTCAAGTAAACAAAAGCACAGTGGGAATACCCAACAGCTTAGTAAATTTAACAGTGTTGTTCCCACCTCCTGGGTTGCTTTCATAGATCACAACACTCCCATAAGTAGCCACTACTGGGCAGGAATTTTGTCTCATACAAAGGCACTCTTCACTTCCCCTCCTGGGAAGTCACCGAATGCCTTTCTCCCAAACGCTACCTCTCCCCTAGCTTTTGGCTGCTGATTCGAAACCTGGAGCTCAGTAGGGGAGCCTCACCTTTGTAGAATACACCCCATACCCCTCTTTTCTCCGAGAGTAACCAGACTTTCAGCCGAGGCACTTTCCGGAAATAAGCGCAGGTGCATACGAAAAGCAAACCGAACACCAACAGCCCGTCCAGGGAATACACTGTAAGGAAGAGGGAAAGAGTCACCGTCAAGTGCAGTCACAACATCCTTTGTCTAGAGGGGGGGGGCGGTGTGGCACAGCTGGAATAATATCGGAGAAGGGGTCTCGCAAACCCCACACCGGCCCCTGGCCCGAGGGCCCCGCCCCGCTCCAGAAACCGGGTGTAAGCAAACGCAGTCACCTGGACAGTTGGGCGAGGAACTAGATCCAGCAGCCAAGACTGAAACCGCCGGACTCCGTCCCCCCGCCCGCCCGTCTCTTCCCCTTCCCCAGCCCATTCCTTCCCTCACCGTTAGCCATGACTGCCGCCCCCGAAGCCCAGACCCAGTACCCGTCACCGCATCTCCCAGAATGAACGGCCAGCGCGGCACCGGAACCACTAGGTGTCACCAATCGAGCTCCAATAGAATAGAGAACTGCGCTCTATGATTGTTCGGTCCTAGAAAAGCCCGTGCTGATAGTTCAGGCAGTATTAGCTGAAAGCCGAGCCCTCTGGGTTTAGAGCGAGTCTGGCAGTGTGTTTTGAAACAGTGATTGTCCTTTGCCAAACTGATAATGACGACATCAGGTGGTTTGCTGTAGAAATACAGGACTTAACACTAGAGAGCTTTCCACCACCACTCTCCAAGGGAGCTTTCACGCTCTCTACTTTTAGGGATATTATTATATACCCACTCACCCACACGCACGGACTTTTGCTGAGGATCCGTGTGGTTTGCATAACAGCTCTCTAAGGCTGCCTAGTGTTATTATTATCTCCATATGATAATTTGAAGTAGGAATTATAGATACAATTGTGTTGTGATTTTCCATTTCCGGCAGCAGCTAAGCTTGATAATATAATGCACACTATTAAGAGATGTCATCCCCTCTGTCTTGATTGCCAAAATATAGTGCCACAAAAGTCTCCGGTACAGTTCCACATTGTACATAGACACATAATAGAGTATTATCACCACCGCCCAATCTGCTAATTTACCGATAAATAGCTCAAGCAAGACAGAAAATCGCGAATAGACAAAACTCTTCTTCCGCCGATTGGGCGATCCCTGCTCAATACCATTCCAATTTGTTGTTTAACCGTTAAGTTGTGTCCCACTCTTTGTGACCCCATGGACCAGAGCACACCAGGCCCTCCTGTCTTCCATTGCCTCCCAGAGTTGGGTCAAATTCATGTTGGTAGCTTTGGTGACACTGTCCAGCCATCTCGTCCTCTGTCCTCCCCTTCTCCTCTTGCCTTCACACTTCCCCAGCGTCAGAGTCTTTTCCAGGGAGTCTTCTCTTCTCATGAGATGGCCAAAGTATTGGAGCCTCAGCTTCAGGATCTGTCCTTCCAATGAGCACTCTGGGTTGATTTCCTTCAGAATGGATAGGTTTGATCTCCTTGCAGTCCAGGGGACTCTCAAGAGTCTCCTCCAGCATTACAATTCAAAAGCATCAATTCTTTGGTGGTCAGCCTTCTTTATGGTCCAGCTCACACTTCCATACATTGCTACAGGAAAAGCCATAGCTTTTACTATGCAGACTATTGTTGGCAAGGTGACGTCTCTCCTTTTAAAGATGCTGTCTAGGTTTCTCATAGCTTCCATCCCAAGAAGCAGGTGTCTTTTAATTTTGTGGCTGCTGTCACCATCTGCAGTGATCATAGAGCCCAAGAAAGTAAAATCTGTCACTGCCTCCATATCCTCCCCTTCGATTTGCCAGGGACCAGTGGCCATGATCTTAGTTTTTTTTTTTTTTTGCTGTTCAGTTTCAGACTGTTTTTTGCACTTTCCTCTTTCGCCCTCATTACGAGGTTCTTTAATTCCTCCTCACTTTCTGCCATCAGAGTGGTATCATCTGCATATCTGAGGTTGTTGATATTTCCTCCGGCAATCTTAATTCCGGCTTGGGATTCCTCCAGTCCTGCCTGTCGCATGATGTTATAAGTTAAATAAGCAGGGGGACAATATAGAGCCTTGTCGTACTCCTTTCCCAGTTTTGAACCAATCAGTTGTTCCATATCCAGTTCTAACTATTGCTTCCTGTCCCTCGTATAGGTTTCTCATGAGATAGATAAGGTGGTCAGGAACTCCCATTTCTTTAAGAACTTGCCATAGTTTGTTGTGGTTGACACAGTCAAAGACTTGCGTAGTGGATGAAGCAGAAGTAGATGTTTTTCTGGAATTCTCTGGCTTTCTCCATAATCCAGCGCATGTTAGCAATTTGGTCTCAAGTTCTTCTGCCCCTTCAAAATCCAGCTTGTACTTCTGGGAGTTCTCGGTCCACATACTGCTGAAGTCTACCTTGGAGGATTTTGAGCATAACCTTGCTAGCGTGGGAAATGAGTGCAATTGTACAGTAGTTGGAGCATTCTTTGGCACTGCCCTTCTTTGGGATTGGGATGTAAACTGATCTTTTCCTATCCTCTGGCCACTGCTGAGTTTTCCAAAATTGCTGGCATATTGAGTGTAACACCTTAACAGCATCATATTTTAGGATTTTTAACATTTCAACTGGAATTGTCCATCTGGTGATGTACCGTTCCAATACTGAATGCCAAAATCAATCCTGGTCAGGAAATGGAAAAGGAAAAGGATGCTGGTGATCTTGTGTCTTTGATATGTGGAGCTGCCATCTGGTCGAAACAGAAGGTGGGAGGGGTGTGGAGAAGAGAATGGCAAACCCCCGGCTGGAAGTAAAAACAAGATAAAGCCCATTATACAGGCCAGGGTGTGATTTCAGATAAGACTTTTTAGTACAGTGTCACCTACTGAATTCATAAAATTTTATGGAGACTTTACATGGACATGCTAGTCCTCCTGTGTTGTTTTCACCGCTGTTCTTCCAACTTCCCTCGAAAAATCCAATCAGGAGAAAAAAATGGAATATCTGCCTTTCAGTTCTCAGAAAGTCCTGGGATGGTGGTGGGATACAATGTTTATATTTTAAATGGACTTTTTGCAAGAAGGGCTGGAACCCTCTGTTTACTGGTCAGAGAAAGTCCAATTGACCTTAGCAGAACTGCATACTTACCCAGAAGTATGCACAGAGTCAGATGTCAGGTGTTGATAGGATTGTGGCCATGCAATTCTAATCTTGTGGTTTTAGTGGTATAAAATGCAAATACCTCTCCCAGTTAATTGCAGTTTAATATGACTTTTAATTGCCATGGCACCATCTTACAGAATCCTAGGATATATGGTTTATTTATTTATTTATTTATTTGATTTCTAACCCACCCCCTAGACAGAGTCTACTCAGGGTGGCTTACAAACAGTTATAAAACATCATAAAAAATAATCATCATAACACAATCACATAATTAAATCAACAGATTTAGAAGTTCAAGATGGAGAAAAAGGGAAACTAAAGAAGAAAAGAATCAAGTGTTGACTGGAGGAAAGGCCTGCCTAAAGAGCCAAGTCTTTACATGACTCTTAAAAACACCCAGCGAGGGTGCCAGGGTGATTTCCAATGACAAGGTGTTCCATAGTCAAGGGGCCACTGCTGAGAAGGCCCAGTTTCTTGTTCTTTCTTTCTGGGCCTCTCTCGGCGTTTGGCCCCTCAGCCGTCTTACCTAACTAGAATGGGTGACTCAGGTAGATCTAGGTGGGAGAAGGTGTTCCACCATGTATCAAGGTCCTAAACCGTTTAGGGCTTAGGTTTGTTTATTATTTATCTAAAATATTTATACTACATGTTTATCCTCACCAAATCCCCACTAATCCAATGGGCCTGTCCTAATTGCAGAGTACTGCTGGATTTCAGTTGATAAAGCTTACTTCAAAAGATAAGTATATAGGATAATGCTATAAAAGTTACACATGAGCTATGCCGCCGCCACCACACACCCTTTGTTTTTGGGCCTTGTAGAGGATGTTTGACCTTAAAGGAAAGAGATTTTCATTTCTTGAGCTGGAGGTATGTCCCTTTTATTATGAGTTCACTAGCTCTCTCTGCAAGTGGTAGCATATCGCTGGATATCCTTGATTTTTATTTATTCAGTTACAGCATACAGTTATCCTGCTCCTCAGCCAAAGAAGGTCCCTGTGTGGCTTACGTACATTATAAGAACAAGACAGTTCCTCCCAACAGGCTTACAAACTAGGAAGGCACAACACAAAAGAAAAAACGTTGGAGAAAAAGAAGAGGGCAAAAAACAAGGAATCTTTTAGCAGAGCAGTTGAAATGGTTCTTCTTCCCCTCTCACCTCCCTTTCCTACAGTCTGCTGAATTTTGTGGACACTCTTGTGACTTCTAGAACACTTTTCTCCTTTGTTTTGCTATTATGTTCCTGTGTATTCCCTGTGCTTTCTTCCCCAGTTGTCCTCACACTGGATATTGTTTATGTATTTCTTTGATACTTTTATATTGTCTTTTTCCTCCTTTGAGCTCAAAGTAGGAAATATGACTTCTGTTCTCCACGTGATGAATTTCTAGTCCTGGCATAATTAGCATATTAAATTAGTCTTTTAACATGGTAGACCAAATGTGTTTGATTTGTAACAACCTAGAAGGTATATGTGTTCTGCTAAACCTATCTTCTTCTAAATAATGTTTTGGAAAATCAGAATTGTAAAATGCCATCCTCTTATAATCACTCCATGGTTCTTAAGGGAACATGTGACATGACACCTGTCCTTCTCTCTATCTCTCTGCTGCTTCCACCCCGGCCACACACTCAGGGATTAGTCTAAGGGCTTTAATAGGTTTTGTGAAGAGCCTGCTAAAAGAAGCAGGGTCCATCCGCAATCACATTACAGTTCCCTCTCTCTGCAAAGGGAAAAAAAAAAACAATAACTAGGCTAACTTAGCAAACTACACAGATCTGTCACAAAGCCATGCCCCTGCTCAGCAAAGAAATGGAATCCCGATGCTAAATTGTTGGAGATAATATTCTACTGAATTAAAGGAAAGAACAGTGAAGAAGAGCTGCTGAGGGCCATGGGAGGTTCCCAGTCAAAACGGGTGAGTAGCTTTCTTGTTGATCGTCTCACAGAAAGAATGAAGCTTAGGGGACTAGTGGTATCTCAGAGACTATTATGATGAAATATCTTGGATCAATCAGGCATGTTCTCGTGTCTGTACTATTTGTATACGGAGTCTCTGCATGCTTCTGGATGAAGTTTTTATTGCTTTGCCTCTTTCACAGAATGGGGGGGGGGAGCCATGGTTTTATTCCATTTATATGTACATATCCATGATTTCCCATGGTTTCTTCCAGCACTATCTCACTATGTAAGCAAAAATGATGACATGGTAAACACAAAATATCACAGAGTGTGGCAGAATTACTTTTTTGGATGACAAGTGCCAGAACCCCCCCCCCCCAAGCATGGCCACAGGCTGCCACTGTCATCTTTAAAAAAAAAGGGGGGGGAGGAAAATGAATGGGCTTTGCCAAAGACCAGAACAAGAG